GGGGTGGGCACCGGGGGGCTCCTGGGGGGCGCAGATCCGCACGGAGCCCAGGGGCTGGTCACAGCCACACAGGTTGCTGAAGGTGATGCGGGCGTTGAGCACGTGGAACAAGGGGATCTCTGCAGGTACAGGCGCCAATTGAGGCCCCATGAACTCCTGCCCCTGTTAATCCCGCCCCAAATTAAGTTTTTCCCTCTCACCGATCTTGACAGGGAAGCCAGGGGGCAGCTTGAGGGTGATGAAGTCGCGCAGTTTGGCGAAGTGGGCGTTGGAGATGGCCATGAGGTCGATGATAGGCGTCACCTGCTCCGCCAGCGACAGCGGGTGCTGCTCGCACAGCCACAGCGTCGCCTTGAACCTGCCCGGGCACCACCGTGGGCACGGGGACCCGCTGGGGCCACCAGCACCACCCCCGTGTGCCATCACCCTGGCCACACCCCCGATGTACAGACAGTGACACGGCCCCCGAGGACTCTGTCCCCACCCCTGGGATGGCGGTCTCACCTCTGCACCTTGCTGGACATCTCGATGGGGCGCCCGATGTTGCGGGTCTCCAGGTCAAAGTGGGGGTCGAAGTACTCCTCGGGGGTGATGGCCGTGGGGTTGGTGGGGCTGGCAGCCTGCAGGACGGGTGCCTGGGGGGACAGCAGCACCGCTCAGCCCCCCTGGACACCCCCAGTGTCCCCAGGGACTCCTGGGATGGCCACTCACCCCGTTGTGGGTGCCGTGCTGCTGTGCGATGCCCAGGAAGGAGTGGAAGGGGGTCTTGGAGCCTGGGGGGAGAGGGGGGTGCAGGGTGAGGTGTGGGCAGTGGGCAGTGGGAGGGACTCCCAGGGCTGTCACTGGTTACACCCCTCATGGGTGGCACACTGCACACTGTCCCATGCCCGTCACCTTATCCTCAGCTTCCCACACCTGACAAGTCACACCCCACACCCACAGTGTCCCACACCTGACACCCGTGCCACTCTGGAAGGGTGGCGTGTCCCCACCGTGTACAGGCCCCCTGATTGGCTGACAAGGCTGTCACCTTTGCTGCGTGACTTGTCCTGGTCGGAGAGATGCTCCGTCCTGGTCTTGGTGACCAGCTCCACGTTGCTGGCACTGTACACCTGCGTGGGGACACCGTCAGGCCTGCCACACTCTGGGCTGTCCTCAGTGTCCCCCATGTCTCTGTGCTCACCTTGGCCTCGTAGCCACTGACCACCTCCATCTTCTCTGAGCGCCAGCCCCAGATCCCAGACTTGTTCCTGGGGGAGCAGGGAGGCCTCACTCACCCTCTTGCACCAGCGCTTCCTTCCCCTTCACCCACGCTTCCCCCTCGCACGGCCCCTGCTCGCTGAGACCTCCCCTTCCCTCACTTCCCTGCTTTCCTCCCCTCCGCACCTCTCGAAGGCGATGTTCCGGGTGTCCAGGTGCGTGGACACGATGGGCGAGGTGAGCCGGCCGGCCACGTGCTCCTCGCTGGGCTGCATGGCCGCCAGCAGCAGCTCGGGCTCGTGCAGGGCCAGCGCCAGCGTCTCCGTGTACACCACCTGCTTGTCGTGGTCCACCTCCATCACCACGGCCCCCTCGTCTGCGTGGGGACACCGCAGGGCTCAGCCCCATGTGACAACCCCAGGCCTGGGGGACAATGGGGGGCTCGGGGGATTGGGGGTCCCTCGTACATGTGGGAGCTGAGGTGGTTCTCTCAGGGAAAAATAAAGTTTCCTTGGGAAATTGGGGGTCCCTGGTAAAAGAACTGAGGTGTTCCCCTTGGGAGGAGGGAACTGGAATCCCACATGGTCCCTAGAGGGGATCTGGGAGTATTTATAGTGCAGAGGGTCTGGGGGATCTCCAGGGAAGTCCCTGTAGGGAATCTGGGGTGTTTACAGACGTGCACTTATAGTGCCCCCCACAAAGACTGGGGGGCATCCAGGGAATCCAGCCAGGTGTGCAGGGGGCTCCCCAGGCTGACAAAGGGCCCGCGGGGGGCTGGAGCTGACCTTCCCCCTTGAAGATGTAGCTGCGGCGGCCGCGCTGCCACGTCATGTGCTCGAAGCCCAGCAGGGTGGTGTCCACCCGCAGGCTCTCGCCGCGCTTCCACACGCGGTACACGTCGCTGGGACACACCTTGGACACCAGGGGCACTGCGGGCACAGGGACACGTCAGCCCCACGGCCGGGGGGCCTCTGGGCACCCCCTTACCCCGCCCAGCCCGGCCACGCTCACCCCAACTGGTGAATTCCCACTTCATCTCCACGTAGAAGTCGGATGCCTGGAAGGGATGAGGGGAACAGTGGGGGATGTGGAGGGGCTGGGGACTCCCTGATAGGGTCACTGGGGAGGGGGGGAGTCTGGGGAGAAGGGATGGGGGTCCCTATTGGGGTCCTGGGTGGGGATCAGAGAGAATCGGGCCATTAGTGCAGGTCCAGAGGGAAGGATAAGCAGCGAGTCCCAGAGGATAAGGATAAGCAGGGCATTCCCAGGGAAAGAATGGAGTCAATGGGGGCTTCTGGGGACAATTTGGGGTCCTTTCTCAGACCCCTGAGGACATGGGAAGTCTGGAGAGCAGGGGTGGGGATCCATTTTGGGGTCCTGGGTGGAGACTGGGGCAATCCAGGGAAGTGGGGTTGGATAGGCAGTGTGTCCCTGGGGAAAGAATGGGCTCATGGAGGAGACAGGGGCTCCTGGGGAGACTTGGGGGGGTCTCTGCTGGAGTCACTGGCAAGGTGAGGAGTCTGGAGCCAAGGGATGGGGCTGGTGGGTGCAGGGTGCAGTTCTGGGGGGCTGT